CCGACTAAGCCACCCAGGCGCCCCTAAGTAAGATTTTTTTTTAAGTTTATTTATTTTTGAGAGAGACAGAGACAGCATGAGCAGGGGAAGGACAGAGACAGAGAGAGTGAGACAGAGAGAGAAACCCAAGCAGGCTCTGCACTCAGTGTGGAGCCCGACATGGGGCCCGAACTCACAAACCATGAGATCATGACCTGAGCCCAAATCAAGACTCAAGTGCTCACGACTGAGCCGCCCAGGCACACCCCTAAGATGTTCTGAACTCTACTCATGAACTCTGTTTTCTGACCCCATCATTTATGCTATGCTCTAATTCCTTTATCACCTTTATTGTACGTTGACTTTATTTTCTAACTTCTCGAGTTAAAGGGTATTTTTTTTTTACTGTTTTTATATAATTAAAATATTTTGGCTGGGAATCTGTGTTCAAGCCCAACACATCACATCACATCGTTCATAAAGCTGTTCTATGTCTACGGGATCACCTTCCTCTTGGCGGGGGAGGGGGGAGTCTTTAATCTCCAAACGCCTGGTGTCCGCTGTAAAGGGTTGCGCTCAGCGGCTACAGCCCACGTTGTTCCCGCCTTTCCGGACTCTGACACCTTTTGTGGCCTAGGTCAGACCTTTCACTTTGTAAACGTCCCATGAAAGCTCAGTCTGTACAAGTAAAAGCCCACCCGGAGCCCTCGGGCCGCCCCCAGTCTCTGCCGTCCTGACTCGTAATAACCCTACTTGCCTCCCCTCAGATCCGCTGCGTCTCCTCCTAGGCCGGCTGCATCGATTCTGTTTTATGAAAGTTTTAAATTCGACTTTAACGCTCAGACAGAAGAGCACATGAGTCAAGACCTCCACGGAGGAGCGCCGTGTCCAAGTTCCCAGAAGTCTCTGCCCCACGATTTCTAGCTGCAGAGGCGCCGCCGGGCCACGTACGACGCCTCCCTCTCTGCTGTTCAGCGTCCCCCCTCGCAGCCGGATGGGAACACTGCCAGCCGTGGGTCCTTCCTGTGTCCCCAGCCCCTTCACCGAGCCCGTTCCCCCACCGCCCGCAGGGCTCCCTGCCCCAGACTCATTCGGCTGCACCGGTCCGCTTCCCCACACCCCTGCCCTCGGGACAGGGCCCGCCTTCGGAAAGCCCAGGAGGCCTCCCTGGCTCTGTCCCCTCCTCAGGCTCATCTCTGGACCCCCAGGCCCTGCACGCTCAGTGCCAACTTCGCCGACTTCCTTCCCATGCAGAGCAGGTTGTCCGGCGGCCCCGCCCTCTGCTGCGGCCCCCGCCCTGCTCTACCCTGTGACAGGCTCCTGCTCAGGCCCCACGGGCCCCTGTCCCAGGCCCTGCACTGAGCTGCAAGCAGCCCACACGCATGGGTGGAAACTGAGTGACCGCAGGGCCTGGCCCGGAGGGGTGCGCTGGGCCGTCAGCTGACCGTCCCACAGGACCAGGAACGTGAGAGCAGACGGAGGCCCTGCACACCCCTGGTCGTGCCTGATCCCGCTGAACAGCCGCCCGCCACTCACTGGGGCCTCCTCACCCCACCACCCGCGGGGCGCCCGGGGGCCTTCTCATGCCGCCTGCGGAGCAGAGCCGGGCGCCCACTCACACGCCCAGCACCCCTCTGGACGACGGCCGCTCCGCCCACTCCTGCCCTGTGCTCACAGGCCCCCGTCTCTGCTAACGAGGCTCGCCATCCACCGGCAGAGACGCAGCAGTGGACTGATGGGCTGGACGGGTGTGCACATCGTTAAGCATCTCAGGACCCGCGAGAAGGCCCGTGGCTCCTCTGGAAGTTCCAGGCTGCTCACCAGGAGTTAACTAATGACCCTCCTTCCTCTGAGAAAGCACTGCACACGGCCACCTTCTGTGACTAAGGGACTCGCTCTCTTCAAATTCAAAGCAATGATGCCAGTTCCTATGTGGGGAGGGCTTCCCCGTGTCACAGAGCATCCTGCGTCCAGGCTGCTTCTGGGTCACCGTCCCGGCCGCAGGACCGCAGCGGCCCGGCTGCCAGGTGCCCCTTCCGCCAAGCACCGGGCTGGGCACTCCACGCCCTGGGGGCAGGGAGGGCTGTCTGGGAACGAGGCCCAGAGGGACAGGGGCTGCAAGGGGCTGGGCTCAGACCCCCGGGGTCCTGGGGCACCAAGCCACGCAGCTCAGACCTTGCGGGGGAGAAGAGAATCATTTTCTCGCATGGCGGACCCTCCACTCCCTGAAACGCTGTACTTAACAACCAGCCAGAGACCCCAGGGAGGCCGCGGCCTGGGGCTTCGCCACACGGCCCGACGGTGCTCCGAGGGGCACGGGTGCCTCACAGACGAGCCTGCGGTCCTGGGGCGGCTCTTGAGCGCCCGCAGTGGGGGTCGGGACAGGTTTCCAAGCCGCCGGACACGCTGGAGCCGGCCCTCAACGGCTGACCCGGCTGCGTGTGCCTGAGCTGGGGTGGGGGGGTCTCGGCTGCGCCCTCTCTGTGCCCCAGGCCCCTGCTGGGAAACGACGCCCTCAGGGGCCTAGGAATTGCCGCCCGCCAGGCGGCGCTTAGGGGGGCTCCTTCCACCCCAAAGACCCTACAGAACCTTATAAGGCAGAGGCAGAAGCGGGGGCAGAACCCAGGCTGGGACCTCAGGGGCCGGCCGGGCTGGGGGCACGCTGCACCTGGAAGGGGCCCGCCCTGGCGCCCGCGGGTGCTGTGAATGGTCACCGGTCAGGGCGGCCGGTCCTCCAGGGAAAGCACAAAGCTCCGGGCACTGAGGCTCAGCACAGGAGTGAAGGCCCGCTCCAGAAGGTACCTCCCTCCATCAGAGGAGCCGGCGACACCTTAGCCCAGGTGCTCCTCGGGGTCGTTCATGGGAGCAGACGCGACCGGGCTGCTGGCCTGGGCGAGCCTCGCAAGCCAGCACCCCGCTGCACCGCCCGGCCAAGCCCCGGGGAGCTGAACGCCGGGGCAACCCCGTCACCGCCCCCACCCGGCACCTGCGGCGGGGGCCCTGGGGCGCTGTGGGGGCTCTGCCTTGCTTCTGGGAAGCTTGCTCCTCAGGAAGACATTCTGTTCTATGCAAATGACTTAGAGCAACACTTATTTCCAAGGGCCAAGTTACAATTCCGCAGAGTGAGAGGGAGGGCCCGAAACGCCTTCCTCCAGGACGCCCTCTTGCTGGCGGCCGGGGCCCGTGGTCTCCGTCACTCAGGCTGTCCTCCACGGACACAGAGGCATTCTCCTGAGTGTCACAACGGCACACCCAATTCCCCGTGCCCCCCAGGACTCCACAGGCTCTGTTTCCTCATTTCCTTCCCCATTCAGGCCAACCCTCCGCCCGCGTCTGGGGGCCGCTGAGCCCCGCTGCCGCCTTGCTCCCCACGCATCCCACACCGCCGGCGGACCCTGTGACCACCACGGGCCGGCAAGGGTCTCCTAGAAACAGCGGTACGCGACAGCGGGCCAGCCAAGGGTGGGACTTGGTGTCACCTCTTCCAAGGCGCCAAGACCGCCGCTGCCTGGGGTCACCTGGCACGTGGCAGCGCCCCGGACAGCCCCTCCCGTGGGCTCTTGTGTGAGGGGTGGGAAGACGGGAGGCCGGAACAGGCCAGGGGTGGGCAGGGGCGGGGCCCGCCCAGTCCTGGCTCAGGTCCCTCTCGGCCAGGGCCACTCCCACCTGCCGTCCCCCGGCCCCGGGGGTCACAGCCCTGCCACAGCCCCTTCGTGGCACTTCCTAATGACGAGGACCAGAGCTGCCCTGCACAGTCTCTGAGACTGGAGCACCTGTGGGCAGGGAACCCGGAGGCACTGTCCTCACTGGGGCAGCAGGGGAGGAAACGGAGGGCAGAGTGGCAAAGCCCCTGCGTGAGACCATTCCTCTGTCACCAGTCTCTCCCCAAGCAAGCCCTGAAGCGCCGGGGGGTGAGCGCCATCTCTCAGGCACGGGTGGCCCAGGGCTGCCCAGTTCCGGATCGGGTCCGCGCCTCCCACCTCAGCACGCCCTCCGGCACAGCCCGCCAGGGCTTCATCCACCCTCGCCCCGCCCCGCCCCTGCGGGCGGAGCCTCCATCAGGATAGCAGTGAGAATCCCAAACGTGGTCGGCCGTGAGCCCCAGGCGCCGGCATGAGCTGCCCTGTGGGGGTGCCCGGGGAATGTCACCAGGGTCACGCCGAGGCTGCCAGGCCCCCGGACACGGGGCGCTTCTCCCTCACATACACAGCGGGCCCTGCGCGGGCACCTCAGCCGCACTGCCCTCCCGAACCCCCCACGGGGAGCCACGGTGCCACAAGCCACACAGACGGCCCGGAGCCACCACACTGACCTAGCACCATGGCACCTCCTAGTCTGTCCCTCACCTAAGAGACAAGAGGCCCAAGGAGGTGAAGTGGCCAGAGAGTGACCCGCCCGGTCCCTGGTCCCCACTGCCGGTCTCTTTGGTGTACCCGAGGGGCCCCATGCCCCTGGGTCACTGGGCAGGAGGACCTGAGCACCCTGGGTAACAGCGGAGGTCACCCTGTGAAGTGGCCCACACCCCCTGGTACTCAGGCCACCACACGTAGGCGCACATTGGGGGTGGGGGGCAGGGGCCGGGACTCAGCCCGACAGAGCGCCCAGCTGAGCACAAGGTCTGATGATGGACGCCACAGTGGTTCTCCACTAAGTCACGGAGGAGACTAGCCCAGAGAGGCTAAACGACATGCCGGAGTCACATAGCCGCCCAGTGGCTGGGCGCCCAGGCTGTCTGCCCTAACCCATCACAGTCCTGCAGCTGCCCTGGGGCCCTGTAAGGAAGGGCCTCCAGAAGCCTGGGACACAGCGGCGTCTCTGCATGGTGTGGCACAGCTCGTGCCCCGGTGACCGTGGCCACCGTGCTTTCCTGGCTGTGACGAGCTTTCCAACGGCAGCAGGTCAGCCATGAACCGCAAGTGCCCGGCCCAAAGCTCTGGCACAAACAGCCCTGTGAATTCGAGGTCTCTACACCTCCCAGCACAGGATCGAGCCCACGGCTCCCCGAGAGGGCACGGACTTACCTGGAAATCCCGCTCTTCCAGAATCTCCTTCCTCCACCTCCCCAGGAAAGCAGCGCACACGTATAAGTGGAAGTGGGAGAAGCCTTCGGGCTCGGACTGCAAGAGAGAACGCGGGGTGGTCAGTGGTCCGCTGCCCCAGGCCGGGCTCCCGCAGCCCAAGGCCGTGATTCCGAAATTCCCACCCCCTCGACATAAGCACAGGCTGCTGAGGGGGGCCGGCTCCTGCTGCACAACTCCTCTGAGGCCGAGGGCGCTGCCGGGGCCACGAAGCCCACTGGACGTGGGGCGGGGGGACGAGGCTCCTCACCGGCCAACGACCCCTGCTCACCATGGGTTCAGCTCGGCCCCTCCTCCTGTGCCCGGGCCTTAGTTCAAGTGCGCACCGCCAACTTCTGGAACGGGGTTCCCAACACTCAGCGGTCAGGGGGCCACCACCACAGATGCCCGTGTGACACCCGCACGACTCCCATTAACCATTTACGAAATAAGTGAGCAAGGGAAGAGACGGTGGCGTGCCCCGGGAAAAGTGAGGTGAGGAAGAGGGGAGCAAAGTGCCGGGCCAGGGGCGGGCTGGTCTGCAGTTTAAATAAGGATCTGTCACCTAAGGTGACATTTAAACGCAGGCCCAAGGGGGGGAAGGCACGTGGATGGCGTGGGGGAGAAATGCAAAGACCCTGAGGTTCCAGACTGCCCAGCACATTCCAGAAGCAGTATGGCTGCAGGGGAGAGTGAGGTGAAGAAGCAGAAGCCATCGTTGGGGATGATCCAGATCCCAATGGCGGTCCTGGTCACTGGCTTGTTCTCATGAGCTCTGGAACCTTCTGGCAGAGGAAGGACCATGCTCCCCAAGGACGCCTCTGGCTGGCGCGCACAGAACAGGCCTGGCATCCGGGAGAGCAGGGAAAGGCAGCCCCCGAGAGACCGGTCAGGGGACCGCGGGAATCACAAAATCAACAGGTGTCAGTGATTCAGGCCGAGGGGGCAGCAGCACAGCCTCGGAGAAGAGGTCAAATTCCAGAAAAGTTCTTAAGGTTGAGCCACGAAATATGCTACTGATGTGGACAATATAGGGGATGAGAGGAGAGGAATCAAGGATACACCCAACATCTTTGGCCTGAACAACCAGAGGAAGGAAGCCACCATTCTGCAAGGTGAGGACAGGTTCGTGGCAATTTGTGGAAGTGTTCTGGTGGGAGGCTGTGAATCCGTTGTGTGCACATGCTAAGCTTCATAGGCATCCCATCCAGAGTGCAGGCCGGAGGCCCGTGGTCCAGGCCAGAAGCATACACGGCACGGGGGTGGGGGCGGGGCTGGGAGGAGACCCTGGCAGGCGAGGATGAGCACTGGCCGTGGCCATGCAGAGGTCGCTGGCAGACAGACGCTGGCAGAGGCTGACTGCCGTGTGTTAGGAAGGAGGGAAGGAGACACTAGAGCATCCTGCCGGAGACTTTATTTTTTAATTGATTATCTATTTTTAAGAGACAGAGCGTGAGCAGGGGAGGGGCAGAGAGAGGAAGACACAGAATCCGAAGCAGGTTCCAGGCTCTGATCTGTCAGCACAGAGCCCGATGCAGGGCTTGAACTCACGAACCGAGATATCTTGACCTGAGCCGAAGTCCGATACTTAGCCAACTGAGCCACCCAGGCACCCCTACCAGAGATTCTTTTTTTACTTAATGTTTTTTTTTTTTTTTTTTTAATTTATTTCT